TCCTTAACACAGTATTAGGTTGCATTGCAAATGGAAGTAAGTCAGGGCAAACTTCTACAGCAGAATCCAATATGGTCGTCTGTGCCTGTCTGTGTCGGCCTCCTCCCACGGAGGAGCACGGGGAGTCTGTCCTCAAACGAAGAGGGCATCCAGAATGCCACTGTCCCTGAGCTGCGGCGTGGCACGCCAGCGCATAACAGGGGACAATGGATGGCACATGCACTTAGGCAGTGTTATGTACGAGGTCTGTCTGTGCGTCACCGCGACCCAGGGGCAGGACAGGAATCCCGGCACAATGAGGCTCATTCTCCGCCGGGTCCTGCCCCCCAAATCTCCAGTGTCACGGTGTGTATTCCTCATTCGCTGTACACAATAGCCCCCTTCTGTCCCCCTCGGGCCCTGTCCAACATGCAGCCACCCCCCATTCCAAACTATGCTCATCTTATTTTCAGGAAATGACAGCTGACAGCTTGACAAAACACCTATCGTCCTCTGTTTCACAGATACACAACCACACCCGTAAAGATACTAAGCACATCATCATCCCGGACGGTTAGTGGCGCAAACAGGAACAGGTGGTAAACTCACCCACTTCAGGTCTTAATCCTTGATTCCCCTGTCAGCATTAAGCAGCCGATCGGCCCACATAGATATGTGAGGGCTACGATCCGAGCGCTAATTCCGTAGGAGAATCCCCTGGAATCTTCCAGTGCCGACCATGAACCCAGGTCACAGTTGGTGGTCTGTGGTGCAGTTCGTTTGCCGATAGTCAGCAAGGAGGCCCAGGCTCCGCATGGCCACACTCAGCGGTTTTGAGTGCCGAGTGATACCTGATAATTGGTCTCTTACCAGCAGCAGCCCGCAGGTCTTCCAGTGCAGCTCGGTACCATTCTACCGGCTGACAGACCCGACGAGGTCCCTGGGCCGGATTAACGGTCGTTCTCCGAAGAGAGAGAGCGGCTCGCAGAGGAAGTGTAACAAGTCACCAGGATGGCATCTCTCTCCGTATTTATGGTGCAACTTTGAGGAACCAGAGTGACTGACGCCTATCTACACCCAAAAAAAAACTTCCTTATCTCAACTGAACATGTCAAGTCTAAGTGCAACTTGACTGTAGCTCAAGTGAGGCTTCTATGCTGGTGCCGTCTATAAAGCTGCGAATTTACTAAATCAATTGGAGCTTCAGTGACCATACTGGGCAGTACAACATTAAGACCGGTCTGGTTCTCCAAAAGGCAACCTGTTCCATTACGGGGATCAAATCCCAGCCTTTACAATACGTGCCACATGCCTGTACGTCATCAATGCAGGTCATAAAGGAGGCAGCCTTGAGTGGACACATGATGAAATCCGGCCAATCAGCAGCACTCCTGCCCACCTTTTGCAGGATGGGTAAAATCACGACACCTGTAAGTCCAAATATTAACATGTTGGTTGATAAACCTTTGAGGGCCCGCAGAAGGTGCTCATACCAGCGAGCATAAGGTTGGAACATGTCGTACTATAATGTGTCTAAACAGAACAGGGGCATCTGAAGTGGCGCTGGAGGGCAAACCTAAGCCAGAAAGGAGAAACGCTCTGCGTAAAGCTCAAGGCTTGCCAAGAGATTTATGCAAGTCTAGTTAACGACTAAAATGTAAACAAAACACTCAGGTCAAGGGGGCAAACATGACTCTGAAATTTGGCTCTCATAGTACTAAATTAAGGATGTGGAGGAAGGGACAGGATCCCATCTAGGGTATAACCTAGCCTTGGGCCCTGTGCTACTATAAAAGATGTACAACAGGCCTATCAGTTATCATATCAGTATTGATCAATGTTCGGTAAAAATCCAGACTTCAACATCGATCAGGTCAATGTGTCGATCTTGGTCAATATTGTTCAAGGCACCAACAGCCTAATGGCGGTTAATACTAGAATAATAGAATAGCACCAGAGCTAGACACATAACTATTAAAATAATGGAGATTATTTTATGATTTTCCATAGTGGAGGAAGAGGAATTTCGTTCGGCTCATTCGCCAATTAGAACCTCCCTACAGTCTTCAAAGTCAGAGATACTTTGCTGATGTTTCATGGTCTGCATTATATGATGTGGTTGCCACACACATTCAGAGGATCTTAAGAAGTAACGTCACCGACATCAGCGTCACGACGATCTGCGGTGCATGCAAGTCAGCAGGTTATCGGAATTGGTAATAAGACAAAAATGAATCGTTATTGGCACCAGCTAAAATTTACACATCGGTATGCCATTAGCTACTACAGATAGCCTACCGGAGAACCCAGAGGAAACCCCACAAACCCCACGAAACCCCACATGGACCCAAGGTGGAGACTTGAATGCAGGACCCATAGGTGTGGGGCAGTAGTAACCATTCCACCACTTTACAACATTTATTTATTTATGTAATATTCTGTTTTCGGTATATTCTGTTTGTGTCCTGAGCACTTTTTACTATGTTTACTTGTCTGTGCTGTTTTTGCACTTTGTCTTGTTTTGTGCTACTGTCCCCGGGTTAAGAAAGCCAGCCTTATGGACTCGTACTTATGAACAGACTGCTATAAAGTCTGAGATATTAAAAATTCAGGTTAAATACAATGTTCGGTAATAACTCGCACACGTGGTACTTTGTGACGCTTCTGAAAACATTGCCCAGCTCTGTATTATTACTTTTCTGATTTTCCTACAAATTCAACATAAAGACAGACTTAGAGAATGGATGTCATTCAGAACCCAGGGACTGCCTGTATATACTTGTTTATCTGCACTTTACAGAACAAGAAATTCCCCCTGGGATCACTAAAGTTGATCTTCTCTCAGAATTTATTTCATCTGGGAAATGCTGGCTAGTCTGGGCCGTAAGGCGAGGTGCCCGTGTATCTGGGAGGGAGGGCTGTATCTCACACACTCTCTCCACATCCTGCACAAGACTGACAGTCGGCTGGCACAGGGAACCAAGCAGCTGCTCACTCATATGCTTGACAGTTCGGTGCTCCTTCAAAAATAGACGGAAAAATAAAACAGCCCAAATAATGACTGGTTAATGTTGTTAGTGACGGTTCAGCCCCAGCAACCACAGATCTATGCTTAAAGAATAATAATAATAATAATAATAATGATAATAATAATAATAATAATAATAATAATAATAAAGTAAAATGATTTGCTGTAGTTGTGTGTGGGGGATTCAATTACTGCACTGCATTGGAGTCAATTATATAGAAAGTCGAATAAATTAATGTGTATGTGTGCGTGTGTGTATATATATATATATATTTTATTTTGTCCTCCATTTCTTCCCCCTGCTTGACATACAAATTGGACCATCTGCTATGTCCAGCACTAACATGAACACAGCAGTTCAAACACAGGTCAGGGAGAAGCTCCCCAGCAGGTGACACGAGGGCATGGGGGGGGGGGATGAGTCTGACAGCTGACACCGGAATGACAAAAGGGGGTGGACACAAAAGCTGTCAAGGACCCGCCAGTGAGGCTACACACGAACAGTTTCCATTTTCGCCAAGCTAGTGAAGGCCGTTCGGCCTGCTGACAGGGGCCTCGTGTCTGAGCGCCAACCCTCATAGCCCAGGAAGTCACCTTCACCCAACGGAACCCCCCCAGCGAGAGCGAGACCTTAACCCCCCTCCCCCCGCTCTGGCCAGACGCCAGGGGGTAGCCACTCATTCCCAAGACACTACCGCTGCTGCATAAACCACGCACATGATTCTACATCCTTCCCCCAAGTACATGGTATTCAGAAATAACCTTGGTGACGAAGATCTCAAGAGTACGACTTCATTACCTTACATTATCTCCCTTTTCAAGCACGCGGCCTGCCGTTTTCAGGGTGACGGCATCTCCGCTACATCAACACGGCCTGCATTGCTGAAAAGCTCATCCAGTCCAATTAAGGTCTAGTCAGAACCAGAACCAGACATGGACATCTGTGTCCTTTCTCCCTACTGGACTTCCTCCAAGAACCCCAAGGGGCAATGATTACGGGAGGAGCGTTTAAACATATTTTAATCTGCAGCTCACCAGTTGTCAGAGTCACATAATTTTTTGCACAACTGATAAGGTATGATGACATTGTGACTTCATTTCTCAGACAGGTTGACACTCTTTGAGCACTGCATTCTGTAGCTACTTTTTAAATTAACAATACATAACATGGTACTGATGTGGAAACAAATAAGAATCAGAAACAAAAACCGAAACTAAAAATAATTATGCATTAATCATACAAAGGCAAGACCTTCTAATAGAATCTGATGCAGTCTGAATCATAACAGTAACTTTTTTACCTTTAATCGAACCAATATCTTGGCAAGGCGCTGTTAAAACTAGCAAACGTTTTTGTCATGTCGTGTTTTTGTCATGTCATGTTAAATAATGATCAAAATAGGCGCCTAAAAAGACAAAACGTTAAAGGGTGGTGGGTGTAATGGGCCAGTGTGTTGCAAGTGATCTCACCTCGTTTTCATTTACAATGTGTGTCGTGCGCAAGATTGATAAATCCGGGCCGTGAAAGGGTGTGTTTTATTGACGAAAGCTTGCTTTTTTTGCAGCAATTCCTGAAACATGGTATCAGAAAGCCGACATCATATTGAACGTCTCCAGATAACGCATCAGCAATGCCACCTAAATATGATTAGCGGCGCGAAACTGAGACAGCAAAGCAGAGGTTATTTCTGAATAATGCAGATGATCAGAAAAACAGGTGTATTGGATTCCTATAATGTGACGTTGTCAGGAAAGAAATATTTTAATATACCAACGCAACACAGTGCAATTCTTTATAGCATTACCGTTTTCCTTTCCTATCCAGCTGCTTGCAAGCTTAGTATAATTTAACAGCTCGTATATTCACTGGTGAATCTGCCCAAATACTCAACATAGCACCCAATACACAAATAAATGCACACAAGTGCGAGCAGACAGGGGGTCGATTTGCAGTTGTGCAACCGTAGATCTTTTGCCGCAAGAAAACACTTACCCATCGCCTACGGTGATGCAGGCTATTAGAGCTTCATTGCGGATAAGGAGCAGGTCTCACCGTCGCCGTGGAGACAAAAAAATCCGGCGATCTACTCAATTTTAATTATTTATTTGGTAATTTTTTCGCCTTTCACGCCGGGTTACCAGCGTCGGTTTAATTCCCGGTCGAGCGGCGTCGCTCTAACGCCGCTGCCGCATAGCTGGGGCTGCGCGCCGGGGCTGTGCATGTGAGAGCCGCTGCGCGATTCCTCCAGATTAAAACAAAAAGAGACCAGAAAGCAGATCAGTCAGCCTCCCGGTGTCCGTCCACCGCTCTGTCCCTTTAAAACTGGCGATAAAATATGAATTTCTTGTTTACTGCATAATAACAGCCGAGAAAGGAGCGGTTTTAAAAAAGGAACTAAATCGCTAGTGCGCTCTTCTCGTATGACGTCTGGACAGTCGATTTAACGACGGCAAAGGCGTTGAATATACGTAGTAATCTCGGTGGTAAGAGAAAAAGCAAAATTACTCTCAGCCCTTGATAGGACTTTGACGTTTTTACAGTGAGCCGCCCCCTCCCCTCATTCTCCTCTTGCCTGTTATCTGCGGACCAGCCCCGCTCCCTTCTCTAAGACTCGCCCCACTGTGTTCTGCTCTGAAAGTGACGCCTTTCCGCTCATATGAAAAGCATAACCCTCTTTACATATATATTTTTTCGGCTTAGTCTCTTGCGGGGGGGCGCTCAAGCCCACAGCTCCTCCCTGTTGTTTGCCTATAAATAGGGGAGGGGGTTGAGCGGCAATACGGGGCATTACTATATTGTAAAGCTGGAAGGCGAATGATATTTTTACACAGCGCCATGTGCAGTATTATTTAAAACAGGAAACACACACACGTATTTAACATGACATTAAATTGCCACTTTGTTTAGGTGTTACCTTAGGCACACGCACATTAAGCATTAAAAATAAAGTGGATAACTTTATTCTTAATAGTATGCAATGATATAATATTTCAGTAAAACACAGGCAGTAGTGTATATACAAATATGAAAATGTGCTGGTGATTTTATATGATTAAGCTTCTGCTAGTTTTGCAAGTTCATTGAAACGGGTTTCGTGACAAAAAAAAAATCTTTCAAAACGTATCGTACTGACATAACTATATACAGCGTATGCTGAACTCAATAAAGTTTTGAAATTACTTATATCGAATGATGGTTTACACCAGTATGTACGTTTGCCTTTCAAAAAGCAGTACGATACTGCGCCATAAACAGGCCACGTTATGAACTGCGGTCACGGATCCTTATCTGCGCTCCTAAGACCTGGACCCCTTTCCACCTAAACCATTACCAGTCCGGCGTATAGTGTTTGCTATATACTATATGCGATATATATATATATATATTATGCAGCCACCAGAATGGTGAAAAATCGGAAAAGTGACACATTCCGTATAAGAAATGCATCGTTTGTAATGCAAATATAGACATTGACGTTAAAGTTATTTGGTCAAGAAATCATTGGGGGGGGTCCAAGATGGAACAAAAAAAAACAAAAAAAAAAATCCATATGACGATTTTAGAGTGCATTCCATTCATTGCAAACTTAAGATGCATTAATTCCTGTTTGTTTTCTAGGTATTATTCTAACATCAATATTAAGCATACAGTATTAATTAAAATAATACTACCTAATCTAATAATAGTCTATAGATTTTTTCTCTTTAGCCGTATGTTATATTTACGAAGAAAAAAAAACACCTCCATATACAATATCCCCCAACACATACAGTCAGTACAACTGCCAAGAGAGATTTCTTGAAAATTATTTTATTTATCCTCGTTAGTAACTACATAATACATCTGCATACCTCATTACTATAAGAAATACTGAGGCCATCAAGTCCAAAGTGATCTCTAGCTTGTCCTTTGGTTTCCTAACCCTAATGTTACTCCTTCCTGCCTTTGCGCTTTTGTCTACGGGCCCTTACAAGTGATTGGCTCCAGACTGAAAATAAAACTTGGCTGCAGCCTTCCGCCTCTGGTCTGTTTGGCCAGCTGGGCTATCAATCTCCGTGATAACGCCCCCCCCCCCAACCCGAGGTAGCATTTAAAGCTGAGGAGCAGCGTGTGAGAAATTTTGGGGCGCGGATCGGTCACGGATGCTGGAGTGAGGTAAGCGAAAGTCAAATGATGGGTAAATGGCCACAGCTGTCATTGTATCATGGAAGAGGAGAAAGCCAGAAAACCCGAAATATGTCATGGAGAAGGGAGGAATGGCGTTGTAGTGTGTGTGTGTGTGTGTGTGTGTTTGTTTGTAATTACAGTGGTACCTCATAACTCGAATTTAATCCGTTTAGAACTCTGGATCGAATCCTAAGAAGTTCGAGTTGTGATCGAATTTTCCCCATAAGAAATAATGGAAAACCAATTACTGTAATTAGTTCCCGCGGCTCCAGAAAATTACACCTAAATATGTTTTTTTACCATTTAAACACAAAATGAACCGGATAAAACAAGAAGAGCATATACTGTACTAAACACATCTAAGCACATTTGTCAAAACAGTAATTTGTAAAGTAAGGAAATAAATGTATCCAAACAATGTGTCCTGCCCCGATTGTCCGCTCCTTCTGTGTGCCACGCCCCCTCGTTAACCCCGTGTGGAATCCCCATGTGATCAGCTGTTTGGTTGTTGTCATTAGTCCTCAGTATTTAGTCCGTGTTTCCCCAGTCCGGTCATTGTATTATTCGTCTGCGTTTTGCCTGCCTTACCTGTAATTAAACCCCGTATTTCCCGATACCCTGACGTCTGCGCCTTTGTCTCCGTTCTGTCCCCGCTCCGCACGACAATATTATTATAATAAAATGTTTTAATGGTTAATTAATGATTATTAATATTAAAATAATTAAGAAATCTTTATTTTTAACTATTTTATTATATAATAATAATTACTGTTACTGTCTATCATTGTCTAAATGTATTTGTGCTGTCTAAATATATGTATTCAGCTATAGTGTAAACATGCACGATGCTATCACAGCAAATGCGAGGCTGAGACTGAAGCGTTACCCTTTGTTTCCGCTGAGAGATGTGCCGCGTGACTCATTTCCCCGCGCATACAAGTTATCTTTGGTCGGCGTTTACGGTTTGACTTCTGAGATTCAGATCGAGTTCTAGGTTTTGTTTTTTTTTTTCTAACTGGTTGGTTCGACTTTTAAGAAATTCGAGTTCTAATGAGTTCGAGAACTGAGGTACCACTGTATTACATTGTAGGGAACAGATTTCCTCACTATGTGATAAAAACCTATTTTATTTGTGGAGACACTTTTTCGGTCCCTACAAGGACACTTTCAGTTATATAAAAATCCTTGGATGCAATAAATAAAACAAAACATGCCAAAAGTCTTGTGTTTTCTTTGTTTAGTTATGGATAAGGTTAGGGCTGGGTAGGGGTTAAGGTTGTCATAGTTGGGATTAGGGTTTTGCCAATAGAAATTAATGGAGAGTCCCCACAAACCTGTGTGTGTGTGTGTGTGGAGGTTGGTTAGGTTTCCTTTGGGTGTCCTGGCTTCCTCCTGGCATCTAAAAACATACAGTTTGGTAGACTGGTATCTTTATATTGCCCTTAGGGTGTGAGTGTGTGTCCTGGTACCCATTCCGGAGTTTTCTCTGCCCGCTGCTTCAGGACGGATTGCAGGCTCACCAATGTGTCACCCATATAAAAGAATCAAAGCCTAACTTTATATTTTGTCTGTTTAAACTCACATTGGTTTTGATTGCATACGCCAGCATAGGCACCACAAGGAAACGCCCCAGCGAGCCAGGCTGTGCATCGCACAGCACGGTGACAGAGGTGTAAATGCCGGACATCCGCTTCACCTCCCGTTGGCTTATAAATTAGAGCCGGCAAATGACTGGTGGGTACACTCCCCCCACCGGCCACCTGAGCCGAGTGCCGGGATCCTGGATCCACTGGTCTCCACTGCGTGTGTCCACCTGGATTTGTCTCACGCCACATTTCCTGGACACACAGTCCCAAAGAGAAAGGCGATCTCATCAACCTTTACTGTGGGGGCGGGGCCAGTGGGCCGGGAAGGGAGGCGATTGGCTCTGGTGATTATGTGCAGCTAGTCAGCTGCAGGCCGCAGCCTGTTCCGATCCATTTCGATGGCCTTCGATGACTTTCTCAGACACACGAATCTAAAGTCTTGCAACATACTCGCCGTCGATTCCTGCTGTGCAGCTATTGGGGTCTTGCTGGTGTTTCAAACTGGTATGATCAATTTTACTCATGAAAACCAGGATCATTTCAGGGTCATCTGATTTCAGTAAGACAAAGGGATTACTCTCCTTTTTAACCTAGCTTTTGAGGAACAAAGAATAAAAGCCTGAGCACTCTCTTTTGTTGTGCTAGCCTACAGTTCCTGCTCAATATCTGCACTAAACGATTCCAGGAGAGGTTTGCATAAAGTTAATTATATGGATTCTTGCCAGTAATGTGAGACATCATACTCACAAAGCCAAAGGATTTCTGTGTTTTTGATGAAAAGGGCAGGAAATTAGACTTTTTGGCAGATATGTCAGTTTAATCTATCAAGATTTTAAGAGGTACCACTGTACTTGAAACACAATCAGAAATTGAAGATGGTGCCTCAACCATAAGAAGAAAAAAGGACAATTTAAACTGAGAAGCCAGGAACTGAGGTTGTCTGTAGTTAATCTCAGAGGTGGAAAGTTCAGGATCGGAAAGTACAAATCCAGACCAAGATATTGTTTCAACCAACCAGTTGAGTATAAAGTGACATTCACAGAGTACTCAACTGGTTGGCTGAAACAAAATCTTGGTCTGGATTTTTATTTTCTGGAGTCTCTGTGGTGAGTCTCTGTACAAACTGCTGGGGGTTTGGTGGTAATAAGGGTGTGACACCAATACAAACTGAACAGCAATATACAGCAACATTTTCACACATGCACACACACACACACACTTTTAAATTTCCTTATTATATTTATGATTTGTGGTTTATATTTTCAGGAAATAATAATAAACATTACTAAATAAACATTCATTAATAATAAACATATTTACAATTTACCTGAAACAGCCTCTTGGCCTGTATTCAGTTTGTTTGAATGTCTGAATCTTATTATTAAAACTGTATTGCCTCTAAAAACAGAGGTTAAGGACAGCAGCGACCTGTACACTTTTATTCAACAGCATTATTATATGTTTCAGGTACATCTTAAACATTTCACCAAAAGGTGTTGCATTTTTTGCTAACTTCACCTGACAAATATATACATATATGTAGGTGACAACCATGCCAGAGCTACAGGACAACAAACGATTAAGTGCATTGCTGCTGAAATACATCTCACGTGAGTTATTCTGGATGTCCACATCTACTTCATACTTTTCAGTCTTTTGTCTCACCGAAAGATGTTGCAGGAATCCACACGCCTGTCGAGATGCGTCATTTACAGCCATCAGTCCGGAAACTGATGGTGATGTCAGCTCCCTCAGCACCCAAGGCGAACGTCACCCAGCATCTGTGTAAGAATCATCTGAAGTGTGTAACCTCACAAGCTGAAATGCTCCGGGGTAGACTACGCCTCAGCTGGCCACTATCCCAGCCCCTGGGTGCTTCACAATCACGGTGCATGTCTCACAGTCTTGAATTGCGTTGATGGAGTCTCAGAAATGCGACCATTTTTGTCCTGGAAATAGTTTTTGAGAAATAACGGACCTGACGTGTCTTCTGTGAACAAAGTCTTTATATGTGCATGAGCGTAACACTCCAATATACACTGAAAGTCTAGCATCAAAAGTCTATACAAGACAGTGGCATGGGTCCTTCAAAATGTATAAAGCCCAGGACCTCTTCTTCAACACAGGAATCATTCTGATTTAGCTCACAGATTCGCAATATGATGTCATAAAGTGGGGCGCACAGGCAACAAAGGCTGTGTAGGTTTTGTTTAGTATTAAATCTGTTTACAAAACCACTTTAGTTAGGCCTGATGAGTTTTTGGAACTTGTATTACGTCAGATATGTATGGATGAATATTAGTGCTAGTTAAAAAGAAAAGAAAATGACAAAAGATTTGAGATTTAAGTCAAAATAAACTTTCCATATTAAAGTCGAAAGGAACTTTCAAGGAAAAAAGGCAGAAGCTAAATGGCAGGGACCTGTCAGTGACTGAGTAGGAGGTGACTCGTTTTTCATGACGACACCAAACAGATGCCTCACATTTAAACAGCTTTCTGGATTCATTCCCCGCAAAAGGAAGGCTCGCGTACGTTTATTATAGGCCGCGGCTGGTCAGGCCACAACCGCAACACAACTCTGCCAGAGACTAAACAGTTTATTTTAACTTTAATCTTAAAAATGTCAGTTTAAAAATGTTGACCTTAATCTCAAAATGCTTTATAATTTTCTTCCTTTTAGGTGGCCCGAATGATCTTTCATATATATGTTTAATTGCAAGTAATGACATTTTAAACCATTAGTAATATACTTATTCGACCGTTGGAGGTTAAATCTTGGCTTTCTTGTAGTAAGAGGTTTTAACGATAAGTAAGATGGTTTGGGTTCAGACTTCCTCATAGCACAGCAACAGAAACAACTTAGAAACATTGGCAGGTCAAAATGGCATTGTGACACAAATACGATAACAAGAAACTCACTGACCAAGATGCACGTAGGGTTTCAATTTATTGACATAAGTAATCGAAAATAAGGAAGTTTTAAAATAAATGTAAAGTCCTCAAACGATGTGAAATGGCAACGGTCTGTTATACTTCTGGAAAATACCATTTACCTAACTGCATTAATGCATTTGGAGCTGGATCTGACTCAGAACGAAACATTCGCTATTCCCCTTACGCATGCTTTCGCTCTGTCGCCATCTTGCGCGATCGCGCTGGTCGCCGGCTCCTCCATAGGGGGCCGCCATATTGCGCAGGTCCAGCTGGCGCGCGGCGAGTCCGCTGCTCGTCACCTGCAGCTTTCCGGACACCCTGAAATGAAAAGAAAAAAAAAAAAAATCAAACATGCACAGTATGTTTTAATGCCCTAAACATTTACAGGTAAGCTGCAAAATTTAGATATAAATATCATTTCCAAACTAAATGCGAAATATGTTATTGTGGTGTTCCCTTTTTTAATAAATAAAAGAAGATTTTTTCTAGATTTTTTTTCTAAAAACAGTAAAATCGTATACATGGACATATGTTGTATATATAACGATTGATAGTTCGTAATATCAATCAATTATGTAATGTGTTTTTCCGTGATGCATGTTGTGACCGGTGTTCTCACAAAACGTCCTATTTTGTCAAAACATCCTACCGTAGTGATAATCGATAGCCCTAACCCTAACTATTATCCTAACCCCCCAAAAACCCCTAAAGCTCTTACCTTAACCCTAACCCTAACCCCTAAAACCTAACCCTAATCCCAAAACGGTGGAACAGCACATGCGCAGAAAGGCTCGATAGGTAGGATGTTTTGTCAGAAAACCGGCAGTATAACAGTCCCAACAGCGCAGTTTACGGCTAAGTCCCCCTCTTGATCTCTCAAACGATTAAAGCGACATCCAGAGTATAAATTGCACAAGTACCACAACTTTTTAATTTAATGAATATTAATCCTCAATCGGAGCAGCTCTTACGTATAATACAATTAAACAATTATTTTTAAACACTACTAATTATTCAATAAAGTGAAATGCCGGTGAAGGCCAGATTAAGTAAAATTTTTATGTATCTTGGACGGTCAATTTGTTGGTTTAAATAACAAACGACAGATGCAGCAAATAACACGTACTGGATTCTGCACTGAACCAAAATATATCATTCAGCGTCCCAGCGTCAATTATCATTCCGGTCTGCATATCTGGGCTTTAACTTTCTGAAATCGAAGGATTACTCGTGTACGTATGACGTTTCTGTTTCTCTAATTAACTTGGGGAAGCAAAAAAATCTTGTTTCAGCGGAGTAATACCTGAGTCCTGGAAAGTCACGTGTGTGGGGAAAAAACCGTAATTACATATTGAGAAGACAGTAACAGTAGATTTATTGTGTCAAAAAGCCTTGATGATGACTAAAACACAGTTCCTGATATGCATTTATGGTAATACATTTTATTTTTAGCTAATTTTATCATCTTGGTGAAATGGTCAATAGTCTTCCCTTAAAAGTTGGCTTTGAGATTAAAAACAAATCTGTGCATTAAGACAGTTTGAACAGGCGTGGTTTGTATAGGTGTTCCAGTACACGGTGACATTCCTGAGAGCAAGAGATTTATTAATTGCAAGTTAAAAGAATGTATAAGACAGACAAAAGGTACGGATAAATGTACACTATGTAGTATGAGAAAGCTACCAATAGGGGGAGCCAGTCTTTCATTTATAAATGAACCTTTGCAACAAAAAAAATAGAATAATAATAATTAACAATAAATTAAAATTATGCTTGTATAGTGTCGAATTTCCTGGGGAAAAATGGTCATTTCATTAACAAAATTATTATCAATTATTATAATCAATTGTTATGAATTGTTGTCCCAATACGTATCATTAGTAGTGTCACAGATGTAGAATGTTATTTGATATATTTTGGTTTTGTCTGGGTATGAGCAAAATGTAACTTGCAAATATAATTTTCCTTATTCTCATTTGGTGCAGGATGGTTGCTTGCTGTCCCATCAGTCACATATAGGTCCTGGGGTCTAACCCTGGCCACACCTGTAGCCCCATAGTAACCTGATGCCTGCTATATTATTGTGTGTGTTTTGTTTTTCATTAACTCCACTATTTTATTGAATCCATCTCCAGTCCTTCCCACCCAATAACCTTCCTTCCTCTTCCTCCGATCCCCATGTCACATGATTCCGTTTGCTGTCTAGTCAGGAGCGGCTCTCAAAAATCTGTCTGCAAATAGGTTATGAGTATGACATTCCACATTCCTCACAATGTGAAATCCATGGAATGACGCTATAAAACTTAAATGAAGCTGACTTGCACTGAATGCTAAAACGGATCGAGCTTCTGAGTGCCCTGCTTGGATTAGAGTGACCTAACGTGGCATTGTACTACAGAAAAGGCTGCAATTCACTTTGAGTGCACTATCTTGTTCTTTCTGTTGGTTGATTAATTATTTATTAAGGCCAAAGAGTCATTATTGGCCACATCTTCGCATCTGCTCGGTTGTTCCTAGACTATCAGGCGCATGTATATTCAAAATGATGGTTTCAGTTAACAGGACTGGAGTTCACATTCAGCATTACTGCACAATAAACTGCATGCCACAGCGAGGTCTTGGTCATTGAAGCGACTGTGAGTTTTATTCCATCTCTGTTTCTTTTATAGAACCTCCTACTCTCATGCAGAAGTCTTTCAGCTGGCATTTAAAAAAAATAATTTATAGATAGAATACATTTTTTTACTTGCCACCATAGTAGGAGTCAATAGGCTTTGTGCCAATGGTGTCATTAGCACTTACGTGGAATCAACACAACACAAAGTTTAATTGTAGCGTTTTATTGACATACATTATGGACATTCAGTGATAAAACAAATTCCTTTTTATCCAGAACAGTTGTGCAATATTGCATTGAAAAGTCATAGTGATGATCCACAGGACTGTCTGCGATCCTGTTTTCTGTTAGCCCCGCCCCACGTCCCTCCGCATGGAACTTTTGGTCACAGTGATGATTGGCGGTTGTGGGAATTCTCAAAACTGGCAGCCGTTCTCTAGAATGCTGGTTGCAAACTCCTCCATCTGGCTGCGTGTCTCCTGGAGCGACGCGTCGCTCTGGCACTCGGCCTCCGTTGGCCAGAGCTCCACCCAAGTTCTCTTTCCCAACACGTAGGTGAAGCTGAGAGGAAACGCGAATTAGAATTAGAATTAGAATTCTTCAAGACATGAGGTGATCCCTCTGTTACTATCTGTGTAACACTGTGTTCCATCCAGCCATGATGACTTTTCCATTCTGGAATTACAATAATACTAATCCTATCTGTGGAAGCATAGGGCATGAAATATGATACAGGCAAGGAAGGAAGTCTGTCAAATGCAGGGCAATTGCACACACAATCAGGCTGTACTTCACCTGAACCTCATTCCCTATCCTAGGAGGATAGTGGAATATACAACAGAAAGTCTACATAAGTGAAACACAGACGTCTGGAATGTAGCCATTGTTCATTGTCTTTAGCCTTGCCTTCACAGAAGATTGATGATGCAACATTTCTGCTATATAACTGCTATAAACTAGGAGACCAAACTAGTTCTTCTCCGCTTCACCTGCTGGTGTCGCCATCCTGATGCCAAACGTCCTCAGGAGGTCCTATGATCAAATAGTCTCTGCCTTCCTGGAGGTCCAGACCGTTGCGGCAACCGGCATGTGATAAGAAGACGATTTTTCCTGGTGCCTGAATTCCAGTATGTGTTCCTATAAGCATGACATCCATGTAGTTAATTCTATGGGAGATTAAACGTGATAAAATGTAACATGACAGATGGATTGATGGCTAAAGAACCAGAGATCAAATGGTCTCACATTCAAATCCCACAAAGACTACATTCACATTTCAAGCCTTATGGTTAAATTCAGATTTTTTTTGCTCAGATCAGATCTGCCTGTCTTGATGGTTCAGATCCATAATTACAAGCGACCTGTATCTAACTGTAATGTGAACGCATCTGTCCTCTGAAATGACATGCATGCGCACATTGATGCGTTTTTATACAAGTCACCTGTGTCACCGTAAAAAAAAAAAAACCCGCTAAGCACCTGCGTATATGCAAGACAAATAAATAAATTCATATCTGACCATTGTCATTCATGTCGCATGGCCATGAATCGGATATGTATCTGATCTAGGACCACATATGAAAGTGACTCCTTGAAAAGATATGATTGCTGTGTCCTCACAGCCCTGAAAACATCAGATCTGTGTCACAATATGGCAACAAATCAGATTTTAGTCAGCCTGGTAATGTGAACGTAGCCTAAAAGATTTGGTGTTGAGCTCCTAGTGAGCTTCTCAGCAAGATACTCTATGAATACTAATATTATAAGAGTATAAATTTGTAAAGTTTCACTATGCATAATGATTATTATTAGTGTGATAATTATAATTACCACTATTATTAATATATAGTGGTTCCAGGCTGCAGAGATTTTGAGTTACGTATTCACACATAATCACATAATCATAATTCATGCAGACTTTTGTCTAATGAAATTTGTTACAATGGGGTTCAATAAAGAAAAAAAGAAATCTTACCTTCTTTTATAACATTTTTTATTTCCACCTCATATCTGTCATATTGGCCCCTGCTGATTTTGGAGACCCCAACTTTATACACTGTGGAAAAAGTCTCCATGAGTTTCATGGCCGAAATGTAAATACCTAAACACAATATATTGGGCCACTTCACCTTTAACCTCTGACCTCCAACCATGTAACAATGCCTACCGTACTTGAGGCCATCGCAGGCTACATCATGGCGCATGAAGCTGGTGAGGGACTTATCTCGCTTCTTTGAGACACAGCAGTCACCTGAAAAAGGGGATGGCGAGAGATGCGCTTCAGAGAAATGTGTCATATTTCAGTGTGAAACTGCAAGGTTGTATGAATATTGATGCACTGAAAAATCACACAAAATTATATGTAACAATAGAAAGACGTACACAATCCCAACCAGACACATAGCTATACACAGACACCATGGTACACATACACTCACAGTCCACCCATTCTTCCCTTTACATGGACTCCCCCTTCATTTCCATGTGCAAAACCCTAATCCCAACAACGACAACCTTAACACCTACCCAGCCCGAACCTTAACCAAAGTAACCCAACAAAATATAAGACTTTGGGTGTTTTTAGTTTTTTGATCGCAGTCACAGATTTTTAGAACATTGAGTTTCTCCTTGTGGGGATGGGTCCCCACAACATTACAGTAACAGGTATTTATGACTTTGGAATAGATACATCACACACACACACACACACACACACACACACACATACACACACCTTCAGCACAGCGGCACGTCTCCTCGCCGCAGATCTGCTGCAGTTCAGCCTTTTCTCCCAGCGGACTGTAGAACTTCATGCAGCGGTGCTCTGGGAGGTAGACGCCCAACAAGAGCAGACATACTCAGAAACAGCCCCAAGGACACAGGAGTTTCTGCTTAGTGTCACTCTGTTAAATTATTATTATTTTTTAATCATAGCCCTACATGTGTTACAACTTAAAATCATTTTGGCCACTAATAATAAAAGTAGTAATTAAAGAGGAGATTCTAAGGATCTGCCTTGGGCCTGTAGCCCCTGGGAGAGGCTCCGGACCCCGCTGTGACCCTGAACGGGATAAGAATTAGAGAAAATAGATGGATGGATGGATGGATGGATGGATGGATTGAGAATTAGACAACCTGAATAGGTGACTGGACAGAGTGAATGTTACATGGAGCACTCAGTGGAAGTGAAGACCCTGAGAAACATTTAACACAGATACTTATACGGTGAAAAGCAAATACAGACATCATGGATGCTTATATATGAAAGGTATCGCAACTAAAGCTACAAAATGGTGGCCAGCAGAGTAATTGTATCATTGTTGGGCCCTTGGCTCCAATTTCTCCATGGATCCGGCTCTCTGATCCTCAGTTGTGTGTCACTTTGAACCATAGCATCTGCTATATAAATAATGAAGTAAATGCGGTTGGTGGAGGTAGACGTACAGTCTGTGTGTCCTACTCCAAGGAACCACGTCACCCCCACACCTCAGAAGGGCGTACAGCTTAACGCCGCTTTCACCTGGGTTGTAATATTCGTAGACTGTGACCGAAGATGGTTGGATCAGTCCCACATTGAACTTCTGGAGCAACCTGAAGGAGATGGTCTCGCTTTGCGTGTTCGACACCTGTAAACAGAGGTGGAAAGTTCCGTTTCAGAAAGTACAAATCCAGACCGAGATTTTGTTTCACTGTGTCATGTTTTAATGAACGTTATCAAACACTAATACTCGAACAAAAGAAAACACATATTTATAATGTAAACTGATATTTTGTTCAAAAAAGATAGTTGCGATATCTGCCGCATGTCAGTGTGGTAAAAACACAGATTCTAACATTTGTAGGTCTTCACTGCTTCTCGAAGGTTGTGGAAGGTCTCCAACTCGCACATAACAACTGACACCCTGCAACTGGAGGTGTTTATTTCAACTTCACGTCTTATTTATCACAAACACAAACACGCACTGTACATGTGCGTAATGATCGTAATCATCAATAATGTGAGAAGTTTAAACAGAGAACTGAAGAGCATGAACCAGCTGCTGTCCGTCAGCATGTGGAAGCAAAGATGCGTGACAACCATGGTTGCCATAGTTACCTTGAAGAGGTGAATTATGAGGGATCCCCTGTCACTCAGACTATCCACAATCTCGTAATTGTTAATGTAGCGGTCCACGGAGTTGGTCAACTGCAGGAGCACAGGAGAGCAAGGGTGAGAATAAGCCATTCGCATTATTCAAGGGTACAAGGGACCTTATGTCAACCATACTGGATTAGTGAAAATGTTAACACTTTACTTGATAGCGCACAAATAATACAGTACTATTCTATTATTTATGTATTAATTACATACTAATCTCATGTTAATTCATCATTAATGAATCATGATATATGTTTTATCTCAAGCAGTTACTAGATGTGTTACTATATCTGTTAATTCTGTAAACGATTGTCAACTACTGAAGGAACAAGTGAAATACTGGTCTTGTGTGTGTTCATCATTAATGAATCGTGACGCATATTTTATCTCAAGTAGCAACTATTTGTTCATGATCTGCACTTCGGTAGTAACCGAGTTATTACTAAATATCTGTTTGGTGTTACCATAAAAATATATTAAGGTTGCCTGCATGGCAAATCATTATGGACACAAATGTCTGCTGAACAAACCAAGGAAGTGAATATCATTTAAAAAGTAATCACCATTTTTAGGAAATTCATGGATTTACTGTGACAATTAGTCAAAAATAAGAAGCAGGTATGTTTTACCATTGAATCTTTAGGAATTTAAATAGGTTACTGTTGCTCTTATTATTGCTGCAATCTCACCGTTTCAAGATCTCTGGTTTCTGGGACGAACCCAGTGGGAAGGGTAATATCCAGTACAGTCATTCTGACCTCATCCTGACCCAGTGCTCTGACATCAAAGACAGGAGAAAGCGAAAGTGAGGGGGACAACTCACTTTACTGCAGAGAGGATTAAAAGTTAATTGTGAAAAGAGACACTGAGCCATAAAGATTTATCAGTAGTAAAGGAGGGGAAACAAACTTACTACCTGAAGGGCTGAAGCATAAGGACTATATTTCATATCAGCACCAAAGCAAGAATGTAACACAACAGAGAACAACTTGTGTATTAAATAGTGCCAATCACAATAACATCATCCATCCATTGTCCTATTCAGGGTTGTGGGCATCTGAAGCCAACCCAGCATAGGGCAATTGCAGGGCACACACACACACACCATTCACACCTATGGACAATCTGGCAGCACCGATTAACTTTAACATGTTTTTGGACCATGGGGGGAAACTGGAGAACCCCCATCCGCATTAGTGTCATCTCATTCTATATCTTTGAATAGCTCAATGCTCATTAAATGCTTAATGGTGTTCTTCCAGTGTCCTATAGAATGACCTTTATCCTCTGTATTCCTCACCTCACATTGATGTCGAGTCTGTATGACCGCTCATTATCCGGGGAAGGCTTTCCTTGAAGGAAACACACAGAATCACAAAACTGCCTGGTTTCATTTCATTACATAGGAAAGAATGAGCTCTGCACACACAGAAATAATGAGCGCTCCAGTGGAAGGAGTAACATTACATCCATATAGCGCTACACTTCTCCAAGAGATTCACACTAATGGTGTGTAAAGCAAAGCCTACCATCGCTTATCTCTTCTATTGAGACCCGCAATTCAAAGTTCTTGCAGCTTTTTTTGTCCTGGTCATCAGGCAGCTCATTGTAAATGGTCACAATCTGGTAAAAGGGGACGCAGAGATGAAGGTCATCAGTCCTCTACAATTACAACTGAGAAATATGTTGGAAGAGGGATGAGCTCACTGGCTCTGAACTGGAAACACACCTCAAGGATGCCTTGACCTTTTCCAGAAGCTTCCACCGTAAATTCCTGGTTTATATTTGTCTATGTGACAACAGAAAAAAAGAATATATATAAAAATATGAAAGCAAATTAAAAAATTTTAATGGACTAAACATAACTTTTAAATGCACAATGTATTATCAATTGCTTTTGATATAAATATCAACAAAACAACCAACATCGACAAAAAATCAGTTGTACCAAGGATAGAAACTATATCCAAGAGTTAAAACTCTGATTAGTGTTGGAAAGATTGTACAGACTGAGACTGGTTGGGTCACCCTGGGAGAACAGGGCTTCTTTTCGTAGCTCGTTACAGTACCTTGGTGGAGCGAGCCTGGTAGGCCGTCTTGGGGGTGAAAGACCAGGTTGTGTCCCTGCGTCCATGGATGCTTAGGGCCACGTTGAGGCTCAGGTCCTGAGGAGGAGGCTTCTGGATCAGGTAGTTTGACAGACTCTGCAGGACTACCATGGTGGGCTGGCGATGCAGATAGAGAATGTGACGGTCACCACCGGCTCTGTGCCATATTATTCTGACCAGGCCTCAAATCCCTCCCCAAGGCTGTTCAGTTTATTGAGATTTCATAGAAAACCTTTGGCTATGTGGTCCGCTCTATCCCTAACAACCTGTGTGGAGCCATAGCCTCCGCCTTGTTTTCGTCTTCCATTGAGCCAGTGGAAGATGGGACCCGCTCGCTCCATCTCCCCGGTTTTCACGTGGGCGAGTAACGCGTAGCCAGTGGCCTCCAGGGTGAACAGGGAGTTGTCTGAGTCTGGCCAGTGAGTTAGATCTATGGACAAGAAGTTGTAGGATCAGGTACTTGGTGGGATAATATTTCCATGATACTAAATGAAGACAAAAATGTTCTTGATCCTGTTTGGTACAGTCCTCTGCCTTATTTGATTTGCATCCTTAACAACCAAAACTTTTGTAATGGTTGCTGTGATTTCTGTGATAGATTGTTAAAGTCAACATTAAAGGAATTAACAAAAGTGTTTTGTTCATTAAAGAGGCAAACCTGCAAGCACATTACCTGTAGAAGCAACCCTCTGCATGTGGTCTCTGAGGAAGTCTCGGTTTTCGCCCATCAAGGCCAGAGCATACGCTGCGATGGCCACGGAATAGGGTCTGCTCAGCCGCGGCAACTGATTCCTCAGGTAGCTCACGGACTTCCTCATTTGGTTCTGGAAGGTCAGTGGCAGGAAGATGCACAAAACCACAACAAACAAACCAACAATCAGAGATTTATGATACATTAGGACACTCGAGTACTAATATGTACGTCCCAAATGAACGACTGACAAGGATAAAGTCAGAAAAAGAGCACAATACCCTATCATCCTGTGTAACAACTCATAAGGACACAAAGATTAAGACTAATCTGCTGCCAACAGAGTGAGCCATTAGATCAAAGGCCAGCAAATGCCCGGATCAGTAAGTCATGTGAGCCGATTGCTCAGTTTAAACATGGCACCTCCCCAGTCTGTGAATGATAGTAGCCCTGTCCCTCTCTCAGGGGCAGTTACCTCTGTCGATAAGCCAGGTTCATGGCAGTCCACCACAGCCTTGGCTTCTGACATGGCTATCAGCACGAAGGCTGTCAGGGTGGCTGTGGACTCCACCCCTTGTATACCTCCCTGGGGTGAACATGAGAGGGTGAAACAGAGTGAGGGAGAGTGACACACCCCTGACACGCGTCCGGGTGAGAACATGTTACCACTCATTGGCAAGCAAATATAAATGTACAAAGTTGGAATTTACATCTGGGATGCACCTGGATAATGGAGCCCTCTCAATGTAATTGATACTTTCTACTAGGTCCATATTGACATATTGACAATTCAATTAAATTAAATAGTTGTTCTTTCAAAAAGGACATCCAGATGAACAAAAAACAGCAAATTAGCAGTATGCCAACAATGCCAGGGAGCCAATCAGAGACTGTGTTAGAGAGACGTGGCTTACAGTCATGGCGGCTGCGTAGACCGGATTGTCTTCTTTGAAGGATCCATCCAACTGCTGCTTCTGCTTCAGCAGGTACAGCAGGGGGCCGCACAGGTGCTCCTGATTGATGCTTACAATGGGGTAGGTCATGGAAAAGACCTTGACCACGTACGCTGTTATCCTAGACGGTGAAGGAAGGGCTCAGCAGTTTGTATGACTTTATGACCTTTACTGTTTAGTATAGAACATCATAAAGTACTCATTTGGTGACTGGTATTGGACACAGTGACCATAATCTGGTCTCAGTCAGGCCCCATCTGCAACAAACTGGTGTTACCATGTGCTCGTTCCTTCATTCCGATATGGTGGGTATGAGTTGTCTTTCTTGGCGTATGCCAGCTGTTTCTCATAACCTTGAGGGAAGAGAGTTAATTGGTGGCATTAAGCAGTCACTTGGAGGGACCTATGAAGGTCTTTATCCTCTATAGACAGAGCTAAATGCTAACTTGACACATTTTTCAAACTGTCAAGACGAGGAGCAGCAGCCTGATTTAAAGGTGTCCACACTCCGCCACTGTCTCCTGGCACCTTTGTCAGATGTGGGTTCATGAATCCCTTCACATTCAAGTACAATTTGAGGAGAAATAGCACACAGTTGTTGCTATTTTTGTTTTCTTTGTTCTTGGTGCTTTGCCCCCTTCACCCGTACCCCTCACCTTTCTTGATGTATGTGACGGCTTCGAGACGCCGCTGCACCCCCACGCTCTCCCACTGCTGCGCCCGGTCCAGGTAGTGCGTGGCGATGAGGGGCAGCGTGATGCTGGCCAGGTTCTGCTCCACGCAGCCGCCCGGCATGCGTAACAGCGAGGCCAGGGAGTCGTCGCTGATAGAGTTGTCGATGGTGTCGGCGATCACGCTACCTACCACAGGCCAAGGGTGGAATGTTAGTCAGGATGATGTCTTTGGACAGCAGAAGGAAACTAGAGGACCTGGAGAAATACCTGCGTAGATGTGGGATTCAAACCCCCAGTCCCAGAGATGTGAGGCCAGGCACAAGGCCACCACAATAGGCTCTTTATAATTTCCATGCGACTTGAGAGACTTTCTACACCAGCAACTCAGTGTTTTAAACAATTTTTGAAAAATTAAGGTGCAAAAAAAGTCAAATCGTCCCATGAATCTCTCTGAAATGCTTACCTCGGACATTGATGTATGTCTCTGGGATTGAATTGGGCACCACAGAATCCAACTTGATGTTGGAAATCTTTACCAGTTGTTTCCCATCTACAAATATTTCCACAGTGTCAAGATGCATAGCAAAACAGTTAAGGGCTGAGAAACACAACACTACACAGATGTGTGATCATCTCTTATCATTACTGAACCTTCAAAATGTTTCCTAAAGTACTTGCACCGATCAAACTGCTGAGTAAATTCTTACCTACCACTCCCTTCATTCATTAGAAATGTATAAAGTAAGATGTTCTTAAAATAACCATTGAGTACTCACCCTTGTCACCTTGGAGTGATGGGTTTAAAACAAAACTTTGAACTTTGGTCCTCTGCACTCCCTCCAACTAAAAGGTAAAAACAGACATTTGGCCTGGAGGTGATATGTGGACAATGAGCCCAACTGGTCGCATGCAATGTAAAGAACAAGCCATGACTTTATTTACAAGCTAAGAATGAAGGATTCAGTAGGAAAAAAAGTCGACAGATCAAATGAGATGATCGGCCCCGGTGAACTGTGCGACTCACCACAACACGCAGTTGCTTCCTCACGCCGTCGTGTCCGGTGAAACCGCGACCGAGGACCTTGATCTCGAGCTCCTGCTGTCCGGCCTTCAGCGGGATGATGGTGTATGGGATGGCCCTCGAGGACTGGGCACGGACGCTCACCTCCTGCCGGTGATCCTCGGTGAAGGCCACGCTGCAGATATCTGTCGTCTTGTACAGGATCACGATAACCTGAAGCAGAAAGGCAGACAGTGAGGCCCGGCACAAGATCTCTGCGAGGATGACGTTTAAAGGAAGGTCATCTGGGTTATGAGGCAAGGGCTTGTTTGTGGTAAAATCTGCCTTTATGGCAAGTTACTCTAAAAATGATGTGATGCTAAAGGAAATTAAATCGGGGGTGATTCTAGCATTTTTTTAAGGTGGGGGGGCATAAGAGGGGTCATATTTCATACAGAGGTGCCAAAGGGGAGGGAGGTACTCCAGCGGCCAATCAGCCTTTAGATGGAGCCATGTGGCCACACCCCTGTATATTCCCCAGAAATAAAATAACGTCAAAATATGATTGTGATTAGTCAGTTATCTGTCTGACTCTCATCATGTAAAGCGTTATACGCCACTCCTGGGCTACATTACAGGCCCCCTTTTGATCCTGACCAGGATAGGGACTTAGAGGATGGACAGATAGATTGATCTCTACTTTTACTAAAGAAATTCTTAAGAATACGGGCAGCACATTGGTAGCAATCGGTAGCAAATATTCCACACTAGGTGCTTTTCCTATTTGAAATTGAAATGTATAATGATTAGGAGCAGTGTATTCCACATGGAATGAAGAGATTTTATGCAATGGGAACAAATCCCACTAGACTGTAGGAGACTTGGAGAAGGTCGCAGGTACATGCACTGGGCTGTAGGCTTGCCTCCATGTCTTGGTTGTTGTAATTGTGGATGACCGCTTTGACCTCTACTTGCTCATTTCTGGCTACAGAATACGGCAGCCGCAGGTCCACAAAGAAGTCCTTCCTGGCCACGATATTATAGGGGTCTGCTACACAAAACCCTGGAGACAAAGTCGATATAGCGGGCAATGTCATACTGATGTTCTGTAAGCCTACGCCTCGAATATAACAGAAAATAGATCAGTATCAAGCCTCTGCACACAACTGAGATTTGTTTAAAGATTGATCTTCAAAGCATCTGTAGCAATGCAACTGTACACATGAACATTAATCCATGGAGTCTCTTCCTTCACATGAAGGCTCTGTCTGCCAAATAGGGGAATGGCTACCTTTGGTGGGAGACGAGCCAATGGCGAGAATGCCCCACTTCGTGATGGAGTCGGGAAGGGCTGACATCACGGTGTGTGACGCCAGTCTGAGGACAGGACCGCCAGAAACAAAGAGACGAGAAATAAACACGAGCGAGGGGAACCCTTCTCTGCAGCAAGCCTCTGGCTAAGACACTTATTGCTTGCAATGTCTTTACTGCTTATCCAATTTGAAGTAGTCAGCTTACATTGAGAGCATCTAACTGTTCCCATTCAGGAAAAGCACATCGCTAAAGCATACAAAAATAGGCTCTTGGGACGTGAACCAGAAACAGTAATGGGTTAAAACCGTGAGCCTTGACACCTGTGTACTCTGTGCAGCTCCCAAGAAGGAGACCAGTCTCAAATTCAATCATACTATTTATCATAATATGTCAGGATTTCTAACGGTCATTCCTGGGTCTCGTGATGCTATTCAAAATAGCAAAAGAAGTGGAACACTTCATACTGGTCATATCCAGCCATTATACCATGAGAAGCATGTTCAGCATCACAGGACTATTCCCTTGGAATAATAACATCATAATAATAATAATAATAATAATAACAAAATTCTTCATACCCATCTCCATGGCCGCTTGCTGGACTGTGCGGCAGAGTGATTTCATTCCACAGCCAGGTCTCGAAGAACTTTGAGCGGACATAAACATCGCGCTCTTTAATCACGTCAGCTTCTTCCTCTTCCTCCTCTTCTTCATTTTGTTTAACAACTTGCTCTGACCTAGATTGTACTGTCATGACAAAACCCCCACAAATAATCAAATGGGCCGAGGCACCGTTAAGCCAGATCATTTGTGCGTCCCGCATATATATTGGCTGTGTCCTAAACCAGGGGCTGCATTGTTGAAGGATGCAGTCTGTGAAGGAGTCACCTTTGTATGCTGCAGTCTTGCAACAATGCAACAGAAAGCATTGTTAAATGGGACGATCTGGCCAATACATAATTTCCTCGTTGCGTCATCAGCTGTTCCCGCCCTTACACTTAAGTGATGAAACGTTGCTCCTGTCGCCTAGCCCGTACCGACCTACAGTCCATTACCTCGGCACAATGAATCTTGGGATATGTTGAGCTGTGAAGGATACATCGGATGGATCCTTCATGACTCAGCAAAAGTGCACATTTCTAGTTCGCATATAAAGGAGCCTTTGAAATGGGACAGTCTTGTCTACATTGTGACACATTCGGTTTCCGAGTTCAACCTTAGAAGGATGCAGCCCCTGAAATCGGACACAGCCAAAGACATCAAATGACCCCAATCATTGAAAACAGATATTTATTTTGTTGGTCTAATCACCTGAAGGCATGGATTGCAGCATAAATTTTCTAGCCATTGTTCTGACCGGACTCTGCATAAATGGAACATGTCGGCTTATAGCAAAACCAGTAGCAGGTTCAGTGATGGTGGGCCTGCTGGTGTGGCTGTCCAGCTCCTCTCCCCGGTACTGCGAGCAGCAGTGCAGGAAAGCCTGGACGCACTCGAACCCCTCTGTCACGTAACGTGATCGCCGGGCACAGGAGTAGTCCATGGGGATCTCCCGCATGCCATCCTGACAGCACCTCCGCAGGGTGCGGTCTTTATACTGGTCCTCTGGGGCAATGGAATGGAAACATCCGGAAAGTGAGTGCTAGTGCACGCTAACACCTGACACCTATTTACCGCCAAAGGTAGTGTTTCCTAATCCGATCCTCAGGGACCCAAAAACGCGGATCATCTGTGGGTCCCCAAGGACCGGTTTGGGAGACAGTGGCTGAAGGTAAACACTGTAGTAGCTGTGCAAAAGTGTTTTTCAAATATGAGGAAAGTGTTGATCAGTTTCGCTCTTGGGAATGATGAGCTTGCACTTCTTTGGCAATGTGTCTAAAGCTGTGAAAAGTATCCCTGTCCTTCCCTCTACTGTGTGTAGTATCATTTGACTCCACTTGATCAAAGGAGTAATATGTTGCTCTGGAACAGACCCTAATCCTGAGAGCTGTACACAGTTCCTCTCTGTCTCCCTTAATGTTGCATAATTTTTTAACACCAAAACATTTTCTGTCTCCCTTTCATTATGCAGAAATTTTACTCAGACAGCACTGGTGATCTACGTGCATAAGTTTATTCCAGTATCTGTAACCCTCTCGCCATTTAGTGTTGCATAATTTTCTAACACCAAATATTTTTTTGCTGTTTTCTGTGTCGTTCCTTATAAAATTTCACGCTATCTTTTAATATAATTTCTGAATTCAGTACAAACTATGAAACTGGACCAATGACTAATTTTTCTTTTATAAAATGTGAAGTTCACTTATTTGAAAGGTTACGCACATAAGAATATTGGGCTATGACACTGAACAGAGGCAGTTTCTGTCTTTGCACTGGTGCTATCTCGGAGGTATCATCAGCCACTCACCAAGTGTAGACTTGTTCTGTAGTATCCTCACAGAACGTCTCCTTCTGGAAGACTTGGCACATTTAACGCCTACAGGTGAACGGTGGGACATAAGAATGCAATAGTCAGTGATTATAATGCGTGATGTCCAGTTAGGTTTGGCCAGTATCTAATTTTTTATATCATCATACAGTCCAGATATTACACTGCAGTATTTGGTATTTTAACATTTTGAAAAGCAACACTCTTGTGGTATTTTAAACAATAAAATCTGCAAAGCAACTTTTATCATTGATTTTGAAATACTGCAGTATACCATAATACCATCCATAATACCATCCAACCTTCCATCTTGCATTACTGTTTATCCAATACAATTTGGTGGTTAGCCTGGGAAAAATCATGAGTTATATGTAATATAAATTCATAATATTCTATTGTAACAAGGTATTGTGTAGATTCTTTTAGAAAACACCATAGGCAGCATTGGCCATAGATAAGACAGAGAAATCTACAACTCAGATTTAGTCAATAGCCAGTTCTGAGAAATGGGTCAATGAGACGACTTGACTGAACACTATATGTGGTAGAATAATGAGACATGACAGAGGAACTAAAACCCCTAAGGCTGGACAGCTCTGAACGTCTGCAGAAGCCTGCAGGATAACCCGTGAGCCCCGGATCACATTATCCAGGTCCGTCCCTGGGGCCCTGTTAACCCGAAGATATGGGAGGATCCTTTTCCAGACCCTCCACCATTTCCATAACCTTCAGTACAAGGTGGACTTGGGAGACTCTGTCAGGAAATACAGAACCCAGAGCAGGAGACACCTAGACCAGGAAGCCAGGCCATCGCAGGGCATGCACTCACACACAATGGGCAATTTACGGATGCTAATTAGCCTCACTGCATGTCTTTGGGCTACAGGACGATACCAGAGTATCAGTGGAAAAACATGGAAAGAACATGGTGATCTTCACAGAAGCAGAGCAGTGACAGGATTTGAGGAACCAGCCTTGGAGGTTTCAGGCAAGGGTGCTACCCACTAAACCAGGGTTTCCCAATTCAGTCCTTGGGGACCACCAGACAGTCCATGTTTTTGCTCCCTCCCAGATCCTGGGAGCAAAAATATGAAGTGTCTGGAAGGGAGCAAAAACGTGGAGCTTCTGGGGTTCCCAGAGGACTGAGCTGGGAAACACTGCACTACACCATAAAACCACTGATATATACTTAACAAATATAGAATACAGACCAGCATGGCAAATACATTTGACCAAGAAATACAGCCGTGGAAAAAAAGAAGAGACCACTCTATATTCTTAAACAAATCTGCATTTTTAAATCGTAGTTTAATTGTGGTTCTGTTGTAGAGGCTACGCTGTGCAGCAGGATGCTTTCAGGTTAAAAATTTCCAAGACAGCAGTACAAGGTGAAGCAGGAGACACTGGGAACAACCATAAACCAGCCAGGCAAAGGGAGGAAGTGACATTCTAATGCCAGAGATGACCATTAATATCTGACAGTTTCTCATGAATCGAAGGATGACATCAAGTAAACTTCAAAATGAATGGGAAAGTGCAGGTGTGAAGTGCACTGCTAGGATAGTTCGTATCAGGCTCCTAGAAGCAGGACTGAGGTCACATAAAGCAAGGAAGAAGCCCTTCATCAATGAGATGCAGGGAAGAACCAGGTTGCAGTTTGCAGAAAAAAATATATTATTCACACACCCATAAACTGAGAAATGAGTGAAACAAAAAAAAAAGTTGTGCTGTGGTCTCTCCATTTTTTCCGCGGCTGTATAAACAGCAACATCTCATGTACCTTCCATGTAGTATAATGGATAATGTTCCTCCATGTCTTGGTCAGGTGATAGCATTCAGATTTGCCAAACACAAGCTGCTTCAAGGACATAACTAAATTCAGAGTCAAGCCATTTCCTCATCACAGGTCCTACCTAGATGCCTAGCCCATAGTTTCACTGCCAGTCATTTCATGGCCAGCTAAGATCTCTACCCAGCACCCAAGGGCATGAGAGATTCATGCCTTTAGAACAGAACACACAGAAACCGTGTTTGATGTCAGATGATGACCCACTGACTCCTATCTTACTGTTACACTCACTGCCTCCAAACTGCAGAAATGACCAACTCTGGAAATTCCATTCCTGTTCCTGACACACCAGCCCTACAGTAAATAGCATGTTTTTTGACACTGGAAATGTACCCTCATCAGTTTATCTCATGGAAAGCAAACAGAGAGAGAATTGATCCAAATTCCCACAAAGACAATCTCTGGACCGTTACAACACGTAGAGAACAAAGTTCAGACAGACTAAGGGCTAAAAAAACAAGAAGAAGGAGTTGAAGAAGAAGGTGATTGTGATGATGATGATACCTTGTCGTGTGTCTGTGACCCTCACGTTGTTGGAGTGGAACGTCAGACCAGCATCGCTGAACACCCCCTGGCTGTCCTGACCTCCACCCTGGGTGCAGCCGATATCACCTCGCTCCACCACGTTCCAGATCTGGAGGAACATAGGGGGACGACAGGCGATGCAAGACAAGACCGAAGCTGTGGATCTGCTAGCAGGATTAGCTTTGAGAGAAGAATACGGTAAGCAAGGAGAAGTGTGAGCTGCAGAGATTCCAGAAGAAAAACACTACTGAGATAGGCAGACATCACAACTGTACACCCCCAAAATGTAAACCCCACTCAAAGAGGACGTGTAGCCACTGTATCCATGTATATCCTATGCCATCATGACTATCAATGTTTAGATGCTGCCCATTGCATTTCGCCCACACCCAGCCTGCAAGAGAATAATGTCTTTCAAGAGATTAAGGTATAAATCACCTTCTTGTTCTATAGATGCAGTATTTATTGCTCCTTAATCATAATCATAAGATGTGGTTTAGAGTCAGGTGTGAAAAGGACAGTTATGGTCAGTCTTGGTCAGTCACGGACAGTCATGGACAGTTCCAATCCACATAAAGCCCAGGATCTCTCTTCCCCAGTTTCTTGCCCACAGGCTTCCACTGGACTCCAACGGTAACACCCTCACCTTGCTCTGGCTCAGCCTGTTCTGGTTGTTGAGCAAAAACACTGCATTGTCCACTGCCAGCAGGCTCACGCTGGTTCCGGGGTCGCCTCTGATCTCAAATTTAAAGGGCTTCCCAGGTTGGTAAATAGGTTCGTTGCCTCCTTCTGCCTCAGTGATTTTTAGCTGAGGCCGATAATAAAAAGTAAAGGCATGTTAGGATGGAGATGTTCATACCCTGTGTATCCTTTCTTTCGTTCTTTCGAAATACTTCATCAAACCACAGGTCAACCAGCAAATTCTAAATCCAGCAGTAATACATATTATCATCAGTACTCTTAGAGGTTCCTTCTGCTCATCATCTGACCCACCACAGCAAATCGGCACCTGTGCACACACAGAGCTCACCGTGCCCACGCATCTGTCCACGACGTCCACCCACACCGAGTCTGCCACCACCTCTGACGTGCCCACCCACGGGAGGATGTAGAAGGCCACGAAGCGGAAGGACGGCATCATCTCTGGGGTGACAACCAGAGGGATGCTGGTGACAAGCTGGCCGCTCCTGGGCATGTGGTCTGCGACAATGATCTTGCCCTTGTTTAACACCTAAGAGCAGATCAAGCACAGATGAGCAGAAGGTAACTCAGTCATCTACAGCAGTGTTTCTCTATCCCTAGACAGTCCACATTTTCCCTCCCTCTCAGCTTCCTGCTTCCTCTGTCTCACATCCATTGCACTTGGACTGTCTGGGGGTTCCTGAGGCCTGGAGAGGGAAAAACTAATCTACAGCAATTTTAGAATTAGGTGATCAGTGGTCATTGCTAACACACCACAGCACACAGTGCGCAACAACGAAATGCGTCCTCTGCATTTAACCCATATGTGACTTTCGTGACATAGCAGGGGGCAGCTAATTCAGCGCCCGGGGAGCAGTGCTTGGGGGAGGTACCTTGCAGGTCGGGATTCGAACCAGCAATCTTTCAATTACAAGTGCGCTTCCCTAACCATCAAGTCACCACTACCCACTAAAAACACTCGCGTTCCTTCGAGCCGGATTCGAACCAGCGACCTAAGGATCGCCGTCTAATCTCTACAGTCCTCCGCTCTACCAACTGAGCTATCGAAGGACAAGACAATAACAACTCCTCAGCTTCACATCTTCACTAGCAGTTGTAATCAAATCACATATATAGCAAATCATATATAACAACATATAAATAATAATGTTATATATAACACACTTCTGCTGTCATATACAATTCATATGAAATACTCCATCCATCACTGTAACCACTGTAACCCAACTGGGGTTGCAGGGGGGACCAGAGCCTATCCTGGGAACAAGCGGGAACCAACACTGGGCAGGCGCCAACACACCACAGGGCCAATTTAGACTCACCAATCAACCTGCCCTGCATGCTTTTGGACCGTGGGAGGAAGCCCACGTGAACACAGGAAGAGTGCGTGAACTCCACACGTGAACACAGGAAGAGTGCGTGAACTCCACACGTGAACACAGGAAGAGTGCGTGAACTCCACACAGAAAGGACCCAGGACCTTCTTGCTGTGAGACAACAGCACTAACCACTGCGCCACCATATTAAATACTCATCGTCGGCAAAATATTGACATATATTTATAATGTATAAAAGTTTCTATAGGACGGCACAAAGACGCAGTGGTTATGCATTTTGAGGTTTGCGGGTTCGAATCCTGCCCCCGGGTTTGTGTGCTCGGAGTATCAATGTCCCCCCTATGTTTATGTTTCCTTCAGGTGCACAATTTTTCCCACAGTCCAAAAACATGTGGTCAACTGATTTATTCTCTCTGAATTGCCCTTTGCTGCTTGTGTGTGTGTGTGTGTGTGTGTGTGTGCATGTGGCCTGCACTGTACTGGGATCCCAGTCATTATAGACCCCACCTTCTGCCCTTTGCTTCACTATGATCCTATACTGGATAAGCGGTTATGGCACATAGTTGAATGAAAGTTTCTACAAATGAAAAACTCCTGTTTTGAATCATATATGATAGCTTCAGGTTTTTCATATAAAATAAGAACCAAGAGAGTTTAATGACACAAGATGTCAAGTATATGTATCACTGGAGCCGGGAGCCGAGTGTGATGAGCAGAGTTGAGTAGGAGGGGCAATGTTGAGTAGGAGGGGCAATGTCGAGAAGGACAGGTTTATCATGTGGAGCAGGAGGGGTTTATAACGAGGGTTAGGGTATCAGATAACAGGCCCCTCATTATGAACCCCTCACATTGTGCCTCCTAACCTACATTGCCCATCCAACTCTACATTGCCCCTCCCACTTGACATTCAGCTCCTGGCTGCAGTGACATGCCTCTCCAAGAAGTTGCTGTTCATCGAAGTGGGAGGAAATTAATGTTAGCGTTCTCCCAGAAGTGGTAATGTTAAAGCCACTACCAGGATCACAACTCACCAGGTAAGTGAAGTGTTTGATGAGATCTTTGTGCGATTCAACGGAATTCCTCATGTGGACCTCCATATTGAGGCGGGCTCCCACAGATACTTGTCGAGCTCCACCGGAGATGTACAGGTAGTTTTGGCTCATGGTGTTAAATGGGGTGTAAGGCCATACCACCAGCTGCCTCTTGGCTTGGTGTTCTGCCTTCAGATCACTCTTTGTCGTCTCAGCCTACAGGATGGGCCAAACCAGGCAGCAGAAGCCAAGAGACAAAAATAAATTGATGAATAAAATGACAAAATCCATTTGCCTTTTCAAAGGATGACCAAGCGGCAAAGGCTTTAGCCAATGGTGGCACAGCTGCCTAAGGCAATACCAGCATCAGGACTTTGTTCAAGGGCAAAGCAAAACTCACGGTTATGGTCTGAAGCTGAGGGTTTGGGGGCATGTTGAGAGACACCTCGCTGACCCCTCGGTGAGAGCTGATGGCCACGGTGTCGGAATTCAAGGTCAGCTTGAATGGGACATTTGGAGCTGGTGAGCCATCGTGATGGGTCACTTGAACCTGGACAGATTTGGTGGAGGGGTGGTGAGCTAAGGAACATAGATAAGCAAGCTTTTCTTTGTAGCAACTTGGTCCAGGAAACAGACGTGGAAGTAATTGATTGATGGGGTTTAAATATTACCCCTACAACAAACTTCAAGTTAAAGAAAAACACTACTAATGGCCAGGACTTATAATAAAGCAGGCTGCAGGAAACTTCAAACAAGGTCATTTAATTTGATATTTATCTGTATAATGAGTACTGGTGACAATGATGATGATGATGATGATGATGATGAACAGCAGACAGATTGTTGTGAATAGTGCTGCATTACCATGAGATCAAACGGCAAACCAGGCTTGAAGAACTTAGAAGTATCTTTGAAGGAAATCTGATAAGGAGACTCCACAATCTTGATGCCTGACCTCTCAGCTTCCACAAGGTCACTTCCTGGTACGGACAGGCAAAGCTAGCATGAGGGTCACGTTTAGGTCTCCCCTTCTTCGGTTCAATCTCAGGGGCAGGTGGGGGACCTCACCGGTAGATGTCAGGACAGAGGCCTTGACGTAAATGGGGCAGCCCACCAGCTCTTTGATGTTCGGAAACGTTTTCTGTATGTCGGACATCTTCAACACAGCCATGCCCTTTTCCAGCTGCAAAAAGCACAGTGGGTATGAAAGCCACATGCAATGCAAATGCAGGCTGAACACAATGGTTTACCACAGGTAAAATGAAGACCTCAAACAGCATGAATCCCTTTTAATTAACTCTTCACCACCCAGGACTGCCGGTTCACATCCATTCTACTCACATTCTCAATGAGCTTCAACGAATGAGGCAACCTTCTCTTTTCCTTGTTCACCTCAACACCAAAGACCACGTAAGCAGTCCCTTTGACAGGCTCACCGTAGAGATAGCTGAAGCGAAACACAAGAACAATGGATTTCAGGGAATTTTGACTTTTTCATGGCTCACCGTGCCACAAATTACCTTGCCGTGACCTCCACTTCCAGCTCACTGTCATCCACGCTGAAATAAGGCTTATTCGGTGTCAAGGTGACATTGAATGCAGGAAGCACTGAAAAAAACAAAACAGATTACTTGTAGAAGTGAGAGTGTAATAATCAAAGGAGCTGTTCACACCTGGTATTGACGTGCATCCTGGGTAATCCGATCACAAGCAGGCAGCGTTAAATATGTCCGTTCACAACCAGTGTTAACATGCGTCTCGACCGACTGTTAATCGGATCTCACTTTCCTGCAACTTATTTCAATAAACACGTAAGTCACTTCATAATCTGCCGAGCATTAAAAGAAGGAGGATAAATCAAAGGCTATTGGCGAATTCCGGAATAAACAAACCGTCTAGGAAATTTGTAATGAATGCCATAATACTTAAAATGAAATAAATATATCAATAAATTAATAAATAATTATTTCAATACTTAATGCGTCCTTTTATTTTTGAATTATTCCACAATTCATAATGTTTATATTTTACGCATAATCTTTAAACTGTATTTCGTAATAACATTGTGATTTTCTCTCGACAGTCATTATTATAAAATATTATTTCACATAATATTTCATATAATGCAAATGTGATTTCTTAAATAATTCAAATTGTACTTCACACTACTTTTCACGCTGTAGGCATGAATTTTTATACCGCGTCAACACTATACAAATGTACGTATTAAAAAGGTCTTTCAGTACTTAGGTTAATACTTTTCTATTCAAGAGCAAACGGGTTCAGTCTGTAATGTATTATGTTAGTTGCCATATGACAATAACTCGGCTTTTAATCATAACCAATGAAGCTCAAAATTTGTGAAAATTTCAATGAACCAGTCAATTGTTTTGTCTGATATGTTATTACCAGGTGTGAACAAGGCCGGTAATCCAATTTTATGACAATTTAGATCAGTGCGTCAGGGCAAAAAAAATCAGAACGTCAGACATATTTTTACATTAGCCCTGTCTAGAACATTCAAAACCATTCTAATGAAGTTCAACAGACTAGCTATTATTCTCAGCCTAGATTACCATGCATGTTTAACGCCACCTAAAAAAACACTCACCGTATTTTTTCACTTCAAATTCTGAGCTGAACTGGTTTTGAGGCCAGCTGTCAAACTTTGCAAGAATCTTCCATACCCCCTCACTATACAAAAACAAGCAAAGAAAGTTATTTTTGAAAAATCATCCATCCACCAACCCTGCAGACAGAGCCATGGTGGAGACTCACACCCTGGTCCTGGAGGTATGATGCAACAGGGCTGATCACTGCACCACCACACTGCACCATTACAAAAAAATATTTAACTAAAAACACATTTTTTTTCTAGCACATGTAAGTCACTATTCAGCCCTATGTCTGTAATCACACATAGTAAAGGAGATAATTGTCTATTAGACTTACCTAACAATGTCTGGTAATCGATAATTCTCAGAGAAGATTCCATTTCTGGCTACTGACCGTGACACTCCATGGATTACTAACCCATCTGGATTCTAAAACACAAAAGGAAACCATCACCTCTAAGGCACTAATAATACATTTATGTATAAATGTAATATTTCTACAAGTCACACTGTAATAACTTATTTGCAATTAGAGTAAGTCTCTCACTATGATAGTCACAGAACAGCCCCCCCCCCCCCAAAAAGGAGTGTCCTACCTGGATCTCAATGGCGACTGAGCTGTTGATGGCTTTGAACTCTGGGTTCGCCACGTAAGCCCTGTAATTCACTTTGCAAACCGGACAAAAAAAACAACACTCTAACTGAAAGTCCCCTTTTATAGAAGTACTTTGCATGACAACAGGGATGAACTGCTAAGCAAGGAACCCAAGCCAAGATGATCCTTGACCTAAGACTCTCGACTTTTTCTACTGTAATATAATGAACAAAAATCTTAAAATATTTCAAATAATGTCAAGTTGTTTTTAAGCCTTCAGTGCCAAATATATATTTACATAATATAAAATATATTTCCCTGTTATCAGCTATAAGGAGTTCATGTAAAACATGTCATAATAAATGTAATGTTTGTTTTTATTCCAGGTGTTCAAATGTAGATGAAAAACTCTAAGCAACCTACATATGTCGCCAGGATTGAAGACAGGCTTGTCTGTCTGGATGAAGATGTATCCAGAATGGAAGGAGACCATGAGGACCTTCTCAGCCACATGGGAGCCAAAGTTCACCGTCAGGTACACATAGCTGTTGGATTTGGACTCCCTTGAGAAGCTTCTGGATGGAAGCTGTCAGTTATGGTATGGTAGAGTCTGATGTTACAGATGTAATGATATTTCCACAGTTATATGTTATTTGATCACAATGTAGCTTTGGAGAGATGAGTTAGTGTGCTTAACCAGTGTTTCCCAATCCGGTCCCACAGCCGGTCCACGTTTTTGCTCCCTCCCAGCTCCTGTGGACTGTCTTTGGGTCCCTGAGGACTAGATTGGGAAACACTGTGCTTAACTAAAGACAAACGAATGCTGGTCAGACCTGTATAGCCTTGAGTGCCTTGTAATCATTGTCCTTCCCCAGGTGCACCGTGTCATGCAGTAATTGGATTATCCGTTCTGGGAAGTCTTCAACTGTTATGGTCACCGTCAAGGGCTCTGACACTCCATTCGCCTCCAGGTAGATGTTCTCGTCGCTGTCTGTCCTGAGGAGGTTGGGAGCCAGCAACACAAACCTAAACAGCAGAGGTGAGGTTAAGAAGGAAATAAGTCCGAAACACAGACATGAAGAGCAATGCATGTTTCACGGCAACATCTCTTTCTTTGCAGATGCTGAAATCCACAGTGACTTTCATACTTCTTACTAAGGTGAGCATTTACTTAAATACCTCATCCAGGTACCTCTTTGCTCAGCTGCATAACAATGTCCAGCCAGCTGTCTTCTCTTACCTGGGTCTCCCTCTTTCTGACAGACATATTCTAGCGTTCCATATTGACGGCTTGTAAAGGTAGCAATGAAACACGTGTACCTGGGTGGGGGGTTCTGGTCCAATACTGGAAGAGAATGCTCCCTGTAAGACAACACAAGCCATTAGCTGCTGGGTAAAGTGCAGGTATGAGCTTACGGCTCAAAGCACAAAGGAGGTTTGTTACGTTTTAACATGAGCGACTAATAGCTCCTATATCTTTAGAGATAGTGAGATAATGTTACTTCTGGTCAAATCAATTTCATTGTCATTTTGTTAAAATCTGCAGAATGATACAAAATATCAAAATAATAATAATACAGTGATACAACTTCTCTTATGAGTAACATTTATCTGATTCTTTTATCCAAAGCAACTTACGGTAGAGGGAGGGGTTATAATTTACACACACGCCTCAGGATTTGAACCCATGACCTTTGCATTTTAGCACAACACTGTACTTGATACAGGTTTCGCGGAGGAAAGCGATGTGAATATACTAACCATGTTCTCTGTCGCCCTAAAAGCAGTTTGCGGAACAGACGTCTGAAAATCAGAAATACAGTCACATGTCACAGCAGCATGGAATCCGCAGGCCCAGACCTGACCAATGGACATGAGTGCATCTATTCAGAAAGACGATGCCCTTCAACTCAGTGTTGGGTATGACATAATCAAAAATCCTGCTTTCCTGCACTTCAAACTATGTCCTGTGTGTGCTCCAGATGGAACATTCTTTTGCACAAATTAAAAAACATATTGAGCAAGACATTGAACAACATGAATGTCAGCAGCATTTGTGGTGGCGAAGAGACACGTACCCTTGATGGGGACGATATCGCGTGCTGAAACGAAAACAAGATTCACCTATCACATTGTATTCTCCTGAAAAAAACTGCATTTCTCCTGAGTTAGAACAACCACGTTCACAAATTGTTTACTGTGCATTATTAAAATTTAAGTTACAGCTCTTAAGCACAAATCTCATACCAGGAGATGTAATATCATACCATACAAATGACTGGGAGGAAACCGTCTTACCTCTCTTGAGACACAAACTGGGACTGGAGGATGCAAAATGAGGAGATGAGGCAGAGGGCCTGGAGATGATAGACTGAAGCCATCACAATGCAAACTGAGACCAGCAAGCCTTGGGCATTGAGGTGTCAGCGAGGCTCAGGTTAATAGATAACCACTGTGAGCTTTACACAAACACACAGAGGCTCTGAGCTGACTGTGGATTTCCCAGCATTCCCTCTGGCGGCCCGTCCTCGCTCATCCACAGCCCAGGCTATAGCAGCTGAGCAAAAACAATGAGTTCCATCCAGAGCTGATTTTATGGGGGGGGGGAGGTATTGGGCCCCCCTAAAGATTCATGGCCCAGGCCGCAGCCCAGGATGACCCTTACATAAGTCCGGCCTTGGTTACACCAGATGATGTCAAAATTATATTGTTGCAAAGAGAAGTTTCAGCTGGCCTGGATTTTGCTTTTATCTCCTCCAACAGCTGTGTATAGACGCTTTATTGACCAGAGTCATGGGTCCTTGGCTCATGAGTCAATAAACAGTGGAGGATCCTTAGCTTGAGTTTGATCAGTCGGCATTAATAGTGACTCTCGAAAGGAGGGCTATCAATGTGATATCTCACACAAGCGTACTCGCAAACAGGAAGCCGTTCAGACTCATCTTCCCACCGTTAGCCCAGTAGAGTCACGAAGAGAGGAGAACATGTGAAACCTTTTCAAGTTGGCAAATATCGGCCATGTTAGGCACTTTTAACAATGTAGGAAGCACAGTACATTTTAGGAGACTGATAAGGTTGGTAATGTAATGTAGACGCACGCTATTGTTGTGCCAAAATGCTCAAACATGAACAATACTAAAATTCCACAAGGGTGGAGTAACTTGTAAAAAACAATCCAATTCCAGATCCCATGGAGCGCATCAATAACTTCACAGCCCAGGCTTGCGGGCTGGAGCCATGCGGACCTGTACTGTGCTCTTTCTATGCCTCCTTGCCCTATATTCAGAAAACTGCATTAAATCTTGTGTTTTATCTCATATGTGATCAGTGCTCATGGTTTGCATGTGTAGCTACAATACGGGCTTCCCAGAATGCATTCTGATTTTACGCTCCTCCCTCAGGGTCAGGTCTCTGGGTAAGCAACGCCCGACTGGAGTTTGATCTGCCCATATCTGGCTTCATGAGGCCTTCTCTGTGTGAGGGGTTCAGTCAGGAGGGCATTCCACTCCTTATCCAAACAAACCTGGCTACCCCCAGGACAGGCTTCCTCGACTGCGGTATGAAGAGGTTAGACGCCTCACAAATAGCACAGGAGGCTCAGCCATGAAACCCAGAATGAACAAAGGTGGAAGATAAGCCCTGAGAGTTACATGTCAGCTGTAAGGTCCTTTCTACAGCCATTTCATCCATCCATCCCCTACCCACTAAGCCTGGTGAGAGTTAACGAGATAATATCATTTCAGCTCCAGGAAAAAAACATTAATAAAATTCACTAAATAAACAAACATTAATAAAATAATAAAAATGAGAATTTTATTTAGTTAAAGATTCCTTCCCGGAATGGCCCAGAACACGAACACGAACACGAACACACGAACACACGAACACACACACGAACACACACACACGAACACACACACACACACACACACACCCCCCCCTTTAAGGGGAAAATCCGAGGAAGTCCAAGGTCAGCCGGCTGCCTAGTCGTCCCAGGAATGCTGACCACACAAGTTTGATTAGCTGTCCAGATATCAGCTGTATGCAGACTGACTTCAATTTCAGCCTTCCTGGTTGTTCAGTTAGTTCAATTAAGAGTTTAAGGACTATTTAAGAGATTAAACAAAAACCAGCATGATGACGAGGGCCTGAGGCCCAGACTATGAAAGCCGCAGTCACAGGCCAGGTGTGTAATGACCTTCTCAAGGCACACAGGCGAACTTCAGCCGCTGCTCTTCGAATTATAAATATTCCTCAAATGATCCACTAGAGGGAGACCAAACTGATTTCCAACCACCTTCAAACCTCTGGTCCTGGTCACGGCCACCTGTGTCACCTGAGGGGTTTATTGGCTTGTGTTGGGGGCCTGGAGCCTATCGCAGGCAGGTATCCTCGCTAGCAAAGAGCAGACCCCCGGGATGCGGCCTGGACAAGATGCCAACCCAACACAGGGCACATACCCGCTACTGGCAATTCAGAAACGGCAGTTACCTAAATGTAGGCATTTGGACTGCAGAAGACTGCAGACCTGGGGAGGGAAAAAAAACCTTGAGACATGGAAAGAACATGCAAACTCTACATGCAGAAGACGGGTGTCAAACTGCCAGAACTGTCAGGCAACAGCACAGCCACCCAGCCACTGGACAGCCAGCAAAGCAAAATAACTGAGCACTAAATCTGAAATCAATGAGTGTCATTCCTGTTTGGCCGGTGTTGTGTGGTTATGCTTGCTGTCCTGTCCAGAGCAAGACTTGTGTCATCTAGAAAGCACATAAAAATAGAAGACAGTAAGCAGAACACACAGGAAAACATTTATTTACAGACAGTTTAATGTAAACATCTAAGCGGGGGGGCAGCCGGCAGGGTTGTCAGATGAGTCAGCAGCACTGCATAATGCAGGCAGAATTTTATCTTAGTGCCTAAATATCTAAGCAACCAACGGTACGGGTGGGGTAACAACGTCCTCTATGTTCTGCCACAGATATTTGCAGTCTTTATTATGATAGTGCCAATCCAGAGAAGAATAACCCCCCCCCCCTCCCAGCACTTTCCTGTTATACAGAGTGACCACTGAAAATCAGCAAAGACTCAGCTTATAACACAGCGCCGACTGTCACCGTCGTGGATTTTACTCCTGTCCACACTATCAGAACCACGAGAGCCGAGTCTGCAGACCCAGGAACGATGGCGCATTTAAAAGGTGAAGATCGTGCAGTAAACTTTAAAAAAAAATAAAAATCCAGCAGACTGAACCCAGGGGGGATCAGTCTGTTTTCTGCATCGTTACATTGAGCATGAGTGAGAGCTGCACTAGGATTATCCTGACTACCGAAAGCTCTGTGATGTAGTTTGAGACTAATTTCTCTGGCTCCATCTGTCCCAAGGTACGACGACTCTTCCCGCTGCCTCACAAAGAAGCCCCCGGAGGTACTCAGAGTCCTGACTCAGTCTGAGTCACTGTAGTCTGCCACCAGAGACCTCAAAGCAGAAGAGGCCCCCTCCCCGCTGTCCTTTCCCTGATGATTCCCACATGATGCTGACGCTCCATCTGTCCTTGAAGTACCAGCAGGGGGGACATCAGCTTCTTTGCACTTTACCATCATTTCTGACTCCTGATTGGTCTCTTTGCCTTGAGGCTCCGCCCACCCGGCCCCCTCCATGCCTCCCTCCGAAAGTCCAGCAGTCACCCTCTCCTCTGTGGTGTCAGAAAGCATGTCCTCGGTGCTGGATGTCCTGCGGGCTGACACGGCAGCGCACGGCCATTTCCCGCCGGCCCCCTTCTTCCGGATGAGTCCGAGCTGGCTGACTGAGGACGGTGCTGAGCACATCTTTGTCGCAGGGGCCCCTGCGGCCCCCCGGGCCCCCAGAGTCAGTCTGTGAAGGAGGCTCCCAGCCGGACTCACCTGCTGGCCGGTGGGGGAGCTGAACCAGGAGCGGGTCGAGATTTCCTTGCGCTTGCTCTGCTGCCGGTCATCATATGCTGGAGACGACGAGCCAGAACAGAAGCATCAGACAAGCAGGAATGAAACTGACTCCAGGAGGCTGGTGCCACGGTCCTGAGGAACTAGGTCTACTGCCACTGTCACCTCTGGCTTGCTCACTGGGGACACTGAGCAAGGATAAAGTAAAGCACTTTGACACAATGTAATGTTCTGAAAATGCGCTTCGCAAATACAACCGAAGTGAGCTGAATATTAATGTGGTAATTCTGCAAATTAACCAGTCAAAAGACATTTGTGGAGAGTACCGTGATGCCTTGTAGTCTCCTTAAGCGCAGACATCTGAAAAAATAGCAGACAGCCTCTATTTTCTCTGCTAAATAAAATCTAAATATTGACAAATTCTAACTGTAAAAATATGGAGGTGCTTGATGTTTTCAAGGCGAGTCAGATGCCCAGCAGCCTAACCGCCTATGTGTGTATGTGAACGTGCGTATATGTGTGTGCGTATGTGTGTGCGTGCGTGTGCGTGCCTATATGAGCGTGCATATGTGTGTGCATGTGTGTGTGCGTGCGTATGTGAGCGTGCATATGTGCGTGCGTATGTATGTGCATGTGCATATGTGCGTGCACATGTGTGCGCGTGTGTATGTGCATGTCTGTGGGTGCGTGTGTGTGTATGCAGGTGTAAGTGTGTGTGCACATGTGTGCGCGCGTGTGTGTGGTTCACAGACACTCACATTCCGGGCTCTGAAAGGTCAGCAGGGAGGCCAGCCTCTTGTCCTCCTCCTTCTCTGGGAGCAGCGGGATGGACAGGCCCGTCCTCTTCCTCACCTCATCGTCCTTCTGCTCCTCTTCAGCTATAACCTTCTTCTCATCCTGTCAGGATGGCCGGGGGAGCACAGGCACGCGATGATACCCACACACATACTGGGGCCACAAGCATCTAACACTCAAGATGTTTTCATTTGTGTCTGGAATGTGGGGAATCCCAGGCAGACAGGAATGAAGCGCGTCCAACTTCGCAGTTTCTATACATACATACAAACATACATGCAGTACATTCACACGCACATACTCTGAACTTCCTGCGGAGGGCGCTGTTGATCTGAAAGTCATCCTTCCAGGCAGCCTGCTGTTCTTGCAACTCATTGAGTGTGGGCAGAGAGGCCCGCAACTTCTCCTTGTCCCGCCCCCCGTGGTCCAGTTTGTACATGGCGTCCGTCTCCAGCTTCTCCTTCTCACTATGCTCTGTTAGAACAGGAAGTGCAAAGTGTCACTGCAACACAGCTTCCTGGAACCAGTGTCCCAAACCGGCCGCCTGGAACCACTGTCCCAAACCGGCCATGAGTCACGCACCGGTGGTCAGAATCTGCTCATTCTCCGCCATGTCCCAGCGCTCCTCCTTGCGCTGCGCCCCACTCACAATGACGTAGTCGCAGGTGGCGGGGTCCGTCTGCATCTCGATGTAATTCACACACAGGTGGCACTTCATCCTGAACCTGCGGCGACCAGATGGGGGCATCGCAAGGGTGGGGATTGTCTCAGGCAACCATGAGCCACAATGAAATATAATTAACTACACAGAAAACAGGATGCAGGAGCCCACCTACCGATAGATGGGTGTGGTGTAGTAATTACCGACTTTCTTCTTCTCTGCATTGTATCGGACCCCTGTGACAACCAACAGGTAAACAGGAAGTAACTGGGCACATCCAGAAGGGCGCCGTAAATAAGCCTGTTACACCTCCTCTGGTCACCAAAGGACAGAGGAACCCAGTTTAATTATACAAACTGCTTTATTCCATCAGTTTTATGGGTGCTGATGGGTCTGCAATCTATGCAGAGCAGCGGACAACAAAAGCAGTAAATAAAATTCAAAGAATTACTAAGCAGGACCAGTAAAAGGACAGGAGATGGGAACAGGAGGAGCCTCTCACCCATGCCAATGTGGTTCTTACAGCCATCACACCAGATGTTGTAGGGCATTTCAAACCTGCAACCAACCAAGGTGGGATACAGAAAGAGCACTTGGTGAGACACTGAGTGTGTGGCAGCTTTGCTCTAAATTTTTCGGCATACCAACAAGGTCACGTTATAATATCCACACCTCTATAATTCAATTTCAATTCTATTTATTTTTATACAGCTCTTTTCCGACAGTTTTCCCCAGTGATGGGCAGAGTTCCGCTAATCCTCTAACAGCTAATTAGCAAAGCTGATTTTTTCGTTAGCGGATTAGCGTTTCCGCTGACTTTAAAAAACGTTAACGGACCAGTTAGCTTCCGCAAAATTTAACTCCACTAACATTTTCTTCACAGGCGAAGTGAATAAAGTTTAACGGTCAAAAATGTTTGTAAACCCTAAAATCATATACGAGTATGTTCCTGTCTGTTGTGAGCATGTCTGCAACAGTGTGTCAGTATAGCATTATCAAATTAAACTCTGAAGTTAGTGGATTAGTTTTCAAAGCTAACTTTTTGGTTCACTTTGCCCACCACTGGTTGTCCCAAAGCGCTTAACAATGTTAGTCTTACCAATTTAGCCCCACATTCTACATTCTGATGGAACAAACAACAATTTTCTCAAGAGGTTAAATTAGAAATTACAACAGTCACGTGCCAAACAGGTGTCAGGACCGTGACCCTCAAGCCCTAGACCTAAATCCTCAGAACAACTTTCCAGTAATACAACACAGCCTCTGTCAGAGCAGTAACATAACCAGGTCCCATGTCGACACCCAGTGGGTCTCACCGGATGATGAGGATGCCCTGTGACAGCTTTCTGGCCCTCTCCCGCAGGGGGTGAGTCTTCCAGTAGCCGTTGAGAGAGCCATGCTGCAGCGAAAGAGAGGACGTGGAGTGAGGGGTGTCAGACACGTCACCAGCAACCAGTAACACAGGCATTCTGTAAACTGGAAAACTCAAGTGGATATGGGGGTGAAGTAATTCCTTATGAACACAACAATGTAACGCTGCCCTGTCCCAAACCACCCCAGCCAGACCAGGTTAAGTCATCTGCATCATCATGAGTTAAATCTGGGCCCCTTCACTGCTCCTTACACCCGCATTTTACATGATTTGTCATATATCTGCTACTTCACAGCACCTTTGTCATATATCTGCTGCTTCACAGCACCTTTGTCATATATCTGCTGCTTCACAGCACCTTTGTCATATATCTGCTGCTTCAC